GTTTTCGCTGAAATTTGTCTTGACGGTTCTTTCATCGGAATGAAAGTAAAGATACAAAATGGCATAGTTTTTCTTTGGCTTTGGAAGGTCAACTTATTTTAGAAGGAAGTACTTTATCACTCTCCATTGCCTTGCGCATGCTGCACCTTGAATACTTGGTTCTCTCGTAGAGAACGCAACGATGATAACCTATAACCGGTTTTCAATACCGCAAGCTTGGATACTCTTCAGATGAGGTCGAAAACTGAGTCCATGCAGCACATAGGATTGATATTTAACGAAGTTACGGCACACATTCCAGACGAAGTTTCGCAATTGTAAAACCAGTCCTGTCTCTAATGTTTCAAGAAGTTCTTTATGTAACTTTAGGGATGATCCAAATTTTTTTTTATATCTAATCGTTGTCCATATATAAGGTGGGTCCCGGCGAAGTGAAGTCACGGGAAGTGCTCGCATCGGTCGGTATGGAGGTACACCTCACCCATTCTGATGTAAATACATCAGAATATCATGCTGTCACTTTTTCGGTGGCTTGCACCCAAGTAATGGTAGATATATTACTTACTCAAGGGAATTCACGATTAAGACAAAGATAGCCCTTCTCAAAATCAAACCCACCATCTGAGTTCGAAGTCGACTTCGTTGCCACTGTTGCATCGCGTCTCTGTGGTTATCATGACGCATTGCAATTAATTACATGTGTACTAACGTTCAACTACTAACATTGATTATTGAATCAAACTTGATGTATAGAGAACGAACGTGCTTCTATTAAAAATGGAAGCTTCCAGAATTTTACAGATTTTTAAACTGAGCTTATAAAACCTTATTGACTGCCGCTATTCAAAAGAAATTTTAGATTCAATTTTCGATACAAGCCAGAAACCTGTTCAGCAAATACTCGGCATCCTTTGGGAACGTATATACCACAAGGAGCTTCAAATTTTGAAATGCAAGACCGCTGTGAATCTTACTTGGGTTTACCTGTGTTTTTAACTATCTGAATCCGTTTTTACGATTTAAATACGGTATAAATGTTCAGTTACTTTTTGTGAGTGAACCCTTTGGAAACTTCATTATGATTATTATACTACTTCAATCGGTCTAGACACCCAAGAAACAAACTGATTTGTTGTTAGGTCCAAGCATGTCGGTTCTACCCTATTCCCGGCTGTGGATATCTTTAACCATAACCCTAAGCTTCTGCCATGTCGTTTGCACGCTTAAAGTTATATAAGGGCTTAGGCTCTGACTTAGGCTTAAGCGGTACCGTGGTAAAAACTACAGATTACCGGTTGGGATTATACAGCAGATCAGCTGCATTCCACACCTGTATGACGGATTACTATTCTGAACGGTAACATATTTAGTGTAATAGCATGTATTTGACCTAATGTCTTTAAAATATTATAGGATGAGTCTAACAGTCCTTTTATATTTTTTACACAATAGTTTTAAATTAATTCAGTGTAATAATACACTAGAGTACCACAATTTCATTGCAATTCAGCGTGAACAGAAGTTAGAAATTGATAAACATATGATCAAGTTGCTGTAATCCTTATATCACCGGATGAAGGCCCCTAAGTTTTACTAGTTCGAACTCTAGATTTTGCTTTCTAATCAGCACATGGGGCCTGCAGTCTTTAGAATTTCATGTTCCCGCCACGCCTTTGACTTTTATTCTGGGTCATTTGTAGAATCCTGGGATCCCATTGACCATGTTCCTGGTTCTGTAGCTGGTAGTATTCCAGAAAAAATAGCGTTAGTTCTTTCAGCGGAGCTACCTCTAATTAAGACAATTAAAAGTCGCTGCAAAAGGACCGATGACTGCGAGAATAGTTTCGATTGTCACGGCATGGAACACTTTACAACAAGGTAACGTAATTTGTCAGTGAAATAGCAATTATTAAGATATTTTGCTCCCGCAGTCTTCAAGACTTATGAAGAAAAACAGTCTTAGAGTCACGGTTCACTCAAAGTCTGTCGCAATTATATTTAATTACGCAGTTTAAACCGCGTCGAACAACTTTCAGAAATTTGAATATGATTTATAACAAATAGGAGACTATTGAAACAGAGTAAACAAACACCAAAGCACAGCATACAGCTAAGGATCAGGTCGAGTTGGATTTCTGTGCTTCGAATCCAATCCCTGAAGCTTTCCCGATTAATGGTGGATCAGAACTATTTTAAATATCTACCAAAGTTGCTACCCTGCAACCCAAAACGAGTGGTCGACTATGAAAATAAAAGTCATTTACAATTAATTAGAGAAATCAGCTTACGTGACTTGAAAGTACTATACAAAAAAGCTACACCTAAATCAAAGGAAGGATAATAAATATGAATTTTTTAAAATGCATATATGTGTTTAGTGGCATTTTGGCAGGTGTTCGAACAGGTTTTTGTTCTACTCTGTCCAGTGATGCATCCATGCAGTGCAGGTGCCAAAGTACCATGAAGCGATGACTTGCTTAAATTGTCCCCTAGAGGCAAAAGGACGATGTGCCTTCGCCGTGTAAATCCATAAATAACCGAAAAAGTTATTTTTCGACCAGCGGAATTTACAAACTGGCGTTTTGCAGGTAAACCCATAAGATCAGTGTTAATTTTTATGGACAATAAATTACAGAAACCGTTCAATTACTGAAACGGTTCTAAGTTTCCAATGACAACATGTAGCTCGGCGATTGAAGGTCATTACGTAGGGGTGATATGAAAATAGGGCACAAACGAAAATATTACACATATCGCGATTAATTATGATAAATTAAAAAAAACAGCTTGACCACTGTATAAATGGCATCTCGGCCTGAAATTAACAGAAAACATGGAGTAACCGAAATGAGAGATTCCATGCCAGAACGATATACGTTAGAAATTCTCCGATTGCTTTGATATTCAATGTGAATCACGAAAATGCATATTAACAAAGAATGACGTTTGTAGCCGGCAGGCTTTTAAAACCTTTAAAATAAACTCATCTATGATAAGGATAAGCAGCTATGAATCTCAAGGCAGACCAGTCTGTAAAACATCGCACTCGAAATCGAAGGGTCGTGGGTATGAGCCTCGGCAGGTCACTTGCCCTTCTGTTTTGCAAAGCTGATAAATGAATATTATTCCGTGGGAAGAAAACAAGACTCTGTGCTGTTATTTCTACATATCCGTAGACTCTGTCCTTAAAACGCTGCACTTCTGGCTGATAGCATGGAAACGGAAATCAGCTCCGTAACACGAACTTCAATAAAACGAAGGGCGCCAGCAACAGTGCAACCGTAAAAATGCACGAGACACTCACTTCTCAACGCATATAAACTTTCTTTTAGCGTTTCTTAACGAAGATAATAGCAGTTATTGTCGTAACATACTTTTCGAAACATGCAGAATCATAGTTCTCATCGTATTTTCCATCCAGAGAACAGGGAATGTTGTTTGTAAAATGATTAGGGTAAGAATGTGTACACAATTTTTTTGAATGTAGCCAACCAAAGACCGCTCTTTTCTAGCAGAACTAAGGCTTCTTGGGGACAGTTCTACACTTATGGTCAGCTCAAATCCTTCAGAGGTATTCTTCCTCTTACTTCACCCTTCTTGTACGAACTTTGGCGTTAGACACGTGATAACAAAACCAGTAAGTCCGTCGACTACTCCAAAAGTTGCACAGTCACTAAACAGGTGAGCCTCTTGGAAGGCCAAATGGAGTGCATTACATCTGTCGCGTTGAACTGGTTTGCATTGTCTTATTTTATTAAGATCGTGATGACGCCATGGCAGATATTCCAGTAATGATAAAACTTTCTAAGCCAGAGGTTAATGCTTAAGTTTCGTATGCCTTTACATTTGCTGTTACATGAAAAGTGATAAAAAATCAAATTTTTTAAAGGTAAGCTGTGGGAAATCTCAATCGGCAATTAACAATCGTATCGCAGGTAAAGTTTTGGCTTACACCGTTCATTACCGGAACTTAAAAATATTCAGATGTTCCAACAGTTCACTGCGGCAACAACGAAATCGAAGTTGTTTTTCGGACCGTCAAGCAGTTCTCAGGAAAAATTTACGTCAAGGGCGAATATGGCAACAAAACATGTAGCAAATCGTACGAAACGGTCACACTGAAAGAGCCTAGTCATAGTTGGCCAGCTAGTCAGAAAAGTCTTCTAGATTCTTCTCTGTCGGCAAGACCCGACTCATGTCCCCCATGTCCGCCTTGCCAGGTAAATTGCTTTTTTTCTCTTTAAGCCGGATTTAACAGAGGATTTAGACGGATTCGCCGTTGCAACAAACCATCCAACAAGAAAACGGATACTTTGCGAATATTATTGTGAAAACAGGAACGTGTAATATGAAAAGAGAACGAAGCGTGAGGAAATTTCAAGCTAAACTTTACAACAAAACTGAATATGCATGTTTTCAGCTGAACCCCGCAGGAGTTGTAATATCGTTCACCGCGGTGGTAAGTTTTCATCGCTATTTTATTACCAAGGTCGATCGAGCATACAGAATACGATGTTTCTATGTGGAAACGGACAAAACAGTTACCTCTATGTTGTCCGTAAAGTAAGCTTATAGCGGTAATTTCTAATGACTCAATACTTTTATTCATAGTTCATCGGTCCCTACCAAGATTCAAGAGAACGTAGCCGCTCCAAAGTGTTTCTACTCAATTCGCAGAAATTTTCCTCAAGGACCGCTCGCAAAGTTCGTTAGAGTTGGTGAGCAGGTGTACCAGCATTGGAAGTGCGAGGCAAGTGCTTCAGGTATGGGAAACAAGTACCACAATCACATTTTATGAATGACTTTTCTTAGATATATTTGGCATACTGGTTCACAGCTGCTTAGTCAACGATGGACATGAACAGCAGGTGGTAGTCATTGACGATAAAGGGTAGCTTTAAACTCTAACAAAACATATTCCTGTCATGCTCATAATAACCGTGGTGCTAAGTTATTTCGTTATATGGCTGAGATGGAATTAAACAGCAGTGGTACAGTAGTCAGTTACGTTCTTTTATACGTTGAAAGTTAGAAGTTTCTCACCTTACACTGATACTGCGGTAACGTACATGGTAGTTTAGGAACGAATAAACCGCGTTACTAAGTCAAGACATGCCAACTAGTCATCTGTGGCCAGAGCAAAATGAATGATGTCACCATGTAATGCGTATTAACCCCGCAAATATTACCGGAAGCCCTACAGTATCTTATCAGTTTCCTCAGACAGTAAATTTATTGTTAAGAAAAGTCAGAAACTATAAAACAAATTAGGTCACACGTTGATCAGATAATATTATAGATTATCTGACATAATAAATAAATTAAGGACGGCAGAATGTTCCCATCATGAAAGTATAAGACCAACATTCCAATGGTTACAAACTTTACCTTTTTATGGGGCACAATTACTCAACAGTGAGGCATGAGGTTCGTCAGAAATTTTCGGATCAAATACAAGATTTTCAGTCTTTGACACCCTCTATAATCTCAGGCATTTAAACAAATCACCCCCGAAGTATTTTGAGATCATACAATTTACCGCGGCTACAGATATAGCTATGACAAAACATGGTTTAATTGTACTACTGACTGACCAATTACCGAAATTATTTAATTATTAAAGTACTTAGTTCAATGTTATTGTTTCAGATGTTCCCTAGACCGTTTCCTTGTTGGAGAAATTTCCTATACAGATGAACTTGAAGCTTTCGTGGAAACTACTATATTCAAATTTGCCGATCGCTCAGCCCTGGAATTTCAATGCTCGATAAGCGTGTGTCTTAGAATGAATAACGGTTGCGACGGAATCACGGTGAGTTACAAGCTACCTGCATACTTTGAGTAATAAGAGCTTTTCAGCCACCACAATGCGAGAAACGTAGCAAAACCAGGAGGTCACCAAAACAAAGCAATACCATAACAGCTTCAGCGAATGACTGGTTGATCAGTGCTCAGACCATACAGGTCGTCGATCTGGATGACAAGTTCTCTTTAGGTGAAAATACAGCACATTAACAAACGTTAAGAATTTATTTGCATATTATTATAGACTTTTTGTCATCCAACGATCAGCCGGAGAAAACAGAATCTCGGCTGAACAAGTTAAAGTTCGAAAAAGGCAAAGGTTCGAAAGGATACTGCTTTACTGTGATCGGATTTGGAATCGTTGTTTCTTTTTCTACGTTTATTTGTACGATCATTGTAATTTTAGCAGCGATAATTTATGCTACTAGAAAAGATATGATTATTTTTGACATGAATTAAACGTCTCCAACTGTCACCATCACTGAAGAGTCACCTTATGCAATAACCATACTCTTAATTCAAAAGCATG